TGAAATTACCTAATAAAAGATTTCATCAAGATTATTATGAAGAAATAAAAAGACCAATTGCTATGTCAGTAATTAAAAATTATATTAAAGTAAAATGAACAAAATAATTATTTATTGATTATAAATATAATTTTTGTTTGTTTGGCTTTGTTTTTTGTTCTAGAAAGGACGATATAATGAGTTAGCTGATCTTTTTGATGACCTTAAATTAATGTTCAATAATGCTATGCAATATAATCAAGAAGGCTCATTAATATATAATGTAAGTCAATTTAACAATAAGAGAAAATACATATTATGGACACAATAAAATTCAGATAAAAATGAAACTTCTAATTTTGTCAAAGAAAATTTGAAGTTATTATTTTGTTTATATTCATCTCAAGAAAAGTTTGAATTTCATTTTTCGATCAGACGAAATTATAATATTTGTTTTCTTGAACTAGAGAAGTTCAAAAAAGACAAAATAACTAATGTATTAAGGTACCGGTGTGATTGAGAGTCAGAAGGAAATGAGAGTGAAACATGAGACTAAGAAAAAGAGAACAATATAAGTATTCTTTTGTTGTGATTAAGAAGACAAATTCTTAAGGTCGTGTTCTTGAGTAAAAACTTTAAATTATTCTTGTACTCAGACTGAAGTGTAGTTAGATAACATAAAAATGAAATGATTTGTAATAGAAAATTTTATCAGTCTGGATAGAACGGTAGACGAAATCAATCTTTATAAGCTATTTTTCAATCATCACTAATCGGTTAATTTTGATGATCGAAATCAAAAGAAATGCACAATCTACTTGAAATTTTAAAAGAAAAAGAAATAGTTTGTATTTTCTATTTTTTCTGATATATTTATGGTTTTTGAAAATATCATTTTAATTCAAGGACAGTATTTTTCTTTTTTTTTACTATATAATTAAAATTAATGTTAAACCTTAAATTCTTCTTTCTATTTTAGAGTGCTAAAAAATTATTAGATGTTGCTCTTGTAAAAGCTCATGAACTTGGATATGATGAACATAAACCACGACTAAAAGAATCTCGTGTTAATATTTCAACGGTAATTAAATGAAAGTTTATTTTTGTCTTAGAAAAAAAATTCTATTGAATTATTTTCTTTAGATTCCAATCAAAGAAGAATATATAGAATCTTCAGTTAATCATCAATGTCAATCACGTAATAATCGTTCTTCATCTTCACAATCATCCAATCTTCAATCACCTAATGTAAATCAAAAAGCTTTCTTTTCTATTATTCATTCATTCATTCAATTATTCTTTTAGTCTCAACGAGGTCGCCCATCAAAAAAAATTCTTAAATATATTGAACAAAATATCCATAATCTCTATACTTATATACGAGAATATCGAGTAAATTTTATTAAACTATTATCTTTTAATTGAATTTCTTTTCTTTTTTTTTTTTTTGTAAAGGAAAATAATATTAATTTAATAACACCATTTTTACAATTACCATCTTCTAGTGAATATCCAGATTATTATGAATCTATTGAACAACCTATCGATATGTCTATGATAAAAGATAAAATGGATAAAGGACAAGTAAATTAAAAACAAAAAATCAGTTTTACTTAAGATTTGTTTTGTTTTTTCTTTGTTTAGTATAAACGTGAACAAGATATTGTTGATGATTTAAATCGGATGTTTAATAATGCAAAAAGTTATAATGTTGATGAATCATATATATACAAAAATGCTTGTCAACTTGAATGTGTATTAACTAATAAATATAAAAAATTAATAAATAAAAAAGAAAAATTTATTCAAAATCTAATATCAAATCGTACAGTTAATCAAGGCACAATAAAAAAGTAAAATAACATAAACAATACATATTTTTTTTCGTAATACTTTTGTTATTGTTATTTTTAAGATCTTTAACGTGTTCATCATTGAATACATTAAATAATAAATTAAATAATTTAATTCAAGCAATAAAAACTTATACAGATCATCATGGACGAATATTATCTACAGCATTTTTAACATTACCATCAAAAATTGATTATCCAGATTATTATGAAATAATTCAACGACCAATTGATCTTAAACGTATTGAATCACGTCAATATTCATCAATTAATGATTTATCTAATGATTTACAACTAATGTTAGATAATGCTTGTTTATTTAATGAACCTGGATCAACAATTTATCGAGTATGAAAAAAAAAAAATTAAGCCCGTTCTCTCAAAGATCGATCATGAACCAGATGCATGCAAATCATATGAAAGGCGACTATAAGATTTTCACTACACAACAGGATGTATGTAGATTTGTAGAGAGATACTTTATCTAATGATGTATGCAGAATCAAGTTCTACTGCGCATTGTTAATATGTCAATAGGTAGGTCATATAACCCGTACATAGTAGAACTTGATACCATATACATCACTAGATTGAAGAAGTCTTTCTCTAGAAAACTACATCTGTTAGACTTTGTAGTTAAAAATCATCGAAAAGCTTATACTCGTTTTTCAAAATATATTGAGACTACGTTAAAATTTTCAGCTTGATATATCCTTTGTGGGTTATTATTCTATAGATTAAGCTTTTTTCTTTTTTATTTGAAAGAGCATGCCAGACTGCACTACCCTTTTTTTAAATTCTAATTTTTAATGCGAAGACAAAGGTTGACAAATTCGATATATTGAAAAACTCAAAAAAATGGTCGTATATTTATAGAAGTGCTGTTTTATATAATAATAAAGTTCGATTCAAAAAAAGAGAAACTTCAGCTTCATATGCTCTTTCAAATAAAAAAAAAGAAAGCGATTGACTACAATGACGTTCCTTCGAGAATTCTCCGATGCGCACTCAAAAAAGTATAAACAGTGAATAAGATTTCCTGCTTTTTCTGGAAAACGAGATGCCAAATAGAAAATCATACCATTTATGAAAAATCAGACTTCAAGCCATCATCTCAATTTCGATTTTTCTCAGGAAAATTGACTTTTGTTTTTTTGAGTTAATGTAGTTTCGCTTTTTTTTTCTTGTTAGGATGCACTTTCACTTCAACGAGTTTTGATTAATCAAAGACAAAAATTAATCAATGCCGAATTTAATGTTAATAATGTACAGAATTTAGTTCAAGATTTAATATGGAATTTATTTATACAAACATTTAATGCTGAAGTTTGTATTATTATTTTATATTCTAGAATATCAAATTTCTTATTTTTAAGGATTCTAACGGTCATTTTTATACTGATTCGTTTGCTGAATTTTCAGAACAAACTGACAATGAACCGTAATAAGAATTACTAAAAATTATTTATGTTGTTATTTTTTTCTTTTCGATAGATTTGATATTGTATATACATATGATCTGATTAAACAAAATCTCAATCAAGTATTAAAGAGAAAAAATTAAAATATATTATTTAAATTTTGAATTTTTTTTTCAGCGACGTTATCGACGATTAGATATTTTCCAAGATGATTTATTTAAAGTATTTGAACGTGCTCGTAAATTGAGTGCTATTGATTCTCAGGTAAATATTTTTATTAAATTATTTTATTAAATTATTTTATTTTTTTTTGTAATAGGTTTATCAAGATACAATTGAATTACAAAAATATTACATCCGTGTACGCGATGAAATGTGTTCTCATGGTAGCGTACTTCAATCACCAGCACTTTTATTTAATGAAAATTATTTACAACAAGAACTTGTTCGTGAACGAACAGAAAAAGATGCATTAACAAATAATAATAATAATAATAATAACCAGAACAGTACATCAACAACAAAATCATCTGATACGGATGAAAATAAAGAATCTGTATGTTTATTTTACTTTAAATTGAATTCATCTTTTTTATTTTGTAATATTTGACAGAATAGAAACTTTTACCTTGTGCGAAAAAATACATGAACCATTTTAAAAATTTAAGAAAGAATTTATTACAGTGACCTTCACCTCTTTCTATATTTACAGTGTTTTATTCAGCGTATGAGTTCAAAGAATAGTGCTTTCTTGGAAATCGGATTTGTCTGCCGAAAAAAAAAAATTATATAAAACGCTATGTGTGTATAAGATTCAGTGATTTTGTAGGCTGGAAGAGGGATCATTATGGAGAAAAGCTTCCTTTTGACAGATGAAAAATTATGAATGTGTACTGTTCCCATCCAGATATTTAAATCTTTTCATGGAGATCGATTTTCTCCAATTTGGATACATTTCTGGTGAGACCAAATCTGAACTCAGCTTTTTGTAATTCTGCTGGTATTTTCACAAGTTACTTTTTCTTTGTTGAAACGATTATGATATCAGGTCTTATTACACAGATCATTAAAGAATTTGTATAAACCAACTATTCAAATGAAAAATTTTAGTTGATCTTTTGTTTGACTCTGCTATATTTCTCTTTGGCAAAACATTAAAAATTGAAAAAATGATACTAATCTTATCTTTTTATATGGAAAACTTTTTAGGTTTTTCTTTCTAATTTTAATATCAAAAGTTTTTCAAATGATTTTTCTTACAAAATTTTTTTGTTCCTAATGTAAAACATTTTTCTAAATCAATTAGAATTTCTTTTCATTAATGAGGAACAACCCCAACTGTAATTAGCCATTTGAACTTATATTATGATCGTTTTATTGAATTTTCGACCCATTTTTGGGTATTCACTGGAAAATTAGATAATAGAATTTCGACTTGGAGCTCAGCTCCTAGATAGATCTAATGACCTTTAGACTATCATCAAAGTTTCAGCGGAAAAGAATGTTCATTTGTCGAGATATTGAATTTCCAACAAATAATCGCACATATGTCATAAAAATCAAGTTTTCTTGGGAATTCAATATCTCGATAAATAAATATTCTTTCCGACTGAAACTTTCAGGATATTTGAACAGTCATCAGACGTATCTATGGGCAAAATTGCAGATCGAAATTTCAGTGTTTGATCCAGAGATTTATGATTATGAACTCTTTTAAACTTTTTCTATTCTTATTAAGACTTCTTTGTAAGCTCAATATGAGTTCTAACGGCAAATTACAATATGAGAAGTTCCCTCGTAAACATTATTTGAAAAAACAGCACAATAATAATGTGCATTTCTAAATCTAAGTAATTTGAATCCCTAAAATATATATGATTTTACTTATCATCATCTTATTTTTTGTTTCTAGTCTACAAAACCTACATTATTAAGTGAAAATAGTTTATTATCGAAAGGTGAAACATTTTATATCGGTGACTTTGTTTATACGGAACCAAATGAAGGAATAAGTGAACCAAATATAATTTGTATTGAATCATTTGAACATAAAGATAATGAAGATTATTTTAATGGTTTACAATTTTATCGTCCAAATGAAACATATCATTTACCAACAAAAAAATTTCTTCGTCAAGAAGTTTTTCTTACACAAACAGTTGAACATATACCAATGAATAAAATTCAAGGTTTATGTCATGTTTTACATGTAAAAGATTATTTTAAATATCAACCAATTATTGAAAATCAAACAAATACATCATTAAAATTTCAAAATTTAGATAAAGATATATATGTATGTGAATCACGTTATAATATAAAAACAAAAATTGTTAGAAAAATTAAATGGTGGAATTTACCAGAAAATAAACGTGTAAAATTAATTTCAAGAGAAACTATACTTGAACCAATACGTGAACCATTAAATATCAATAATGATAATTTATTATATCGACAATTAATAAATGATAATGATTTAATAAATAATGATATTATTGAAAAAATTAAAGAAACAATTCCATATGATTCTGTTATTAATGAAAAATTAAATGAAAATTTAATTGAAAAAAAACAATTCTATGAACAAATTGTTCTTTCATCAAATTGTTTTTATAAAATTGGAGATTATATTTATATTAATGAAAATAGTAATCAATTAGATAAACGATCTATATTACGAATCGATAAAATTTGGAAACATAATGAGTAAGTTTACAAAAACTTAGACTATCTCAATCCATATAAAGAAAAGCATTCACATAAAAAAAAATATATATATTTCTCGAAATATCCAATACTTTGGACTTCCCAGGTTAATGATTCCGGTATCCGAATCCGTGAATTTTCGGTAGGTTGCCGTTGGAAAGATTCCTTTTTCCTAGCGAAAAACTTAGGAAAATTGTAGGAACTTGAAAGAAAGAACTCGATGATTGGATTCGGTGGCCGAATTTTTCTTCTTCCGGATGTAATCAGGCAGAGTCAGTCACTGGATTTCTGCTTTTAAGCTTCTATCATTTTCTCGAGTTTTTTGATCGGAAGCAGACTGTATTTCTTGATCTGGATCTCTAGAATGAAATTAATGAAAAAATACAAGAACACAAAATTGTATATCGATTAAAAGATAAAACAAACATCTCATTTTTAATCTATAAAATGCAATTTAAATGTTATCTATCATTTTATCATCTAACTAAAATAATTTGTTTGATAATCAAGTCATTATTTTTCTTTCTCTATCAAAGATATTTCTTTATTGTTCATTTTTTTTCTCTTATTAATAAACATTCAGAAATTTTTATAGAATTTTACTCGAGTTACTTTTATTTTTGATTAAAATTTACTAAGCTTAAAATTTGATATGTTGGTTAATAATTTACAAATAGAAATTTATACTGATCCAGAGAGCTGTTGCTACCAAAGCAACAAACAAATAACTAATTGCATTGTCAATAGTATTCAAATCCCTTAGATCAGTTTTCGACTATGTTTTTATCTAAAATTTAGATAACGTAATCTAAAAACAATGTTGAACCCTATCATCACGAACCTTGACGGATACCATAGCAACGTCTCTTTTCCATCAAAGAAGGTAATAAGTACTGTAATACAACCTTTCTCTCCCTCCCTACTCGAGAACTATGACAAATATACCCACAATAACAATGTCTACTATAGTATTATTAGGAAACATAATTGAATAGCTGTCGTTTTATTCTTCTTTCACATAATAATTAACATTCTTTAATGATTAACATACATTAACAGAATGTAGTAGTATTTCACAAACCAAAAATATATATTGTTGAATTCCCTCTTTTACAATGTCAACTGATCCATCATGTTTCACATTTTGAATCCCGTAGGGAATGTGTTGACAGCTATTTTTTATCCGAATATTCTGTAAGATTCTTTCTAGTTGAAATGTCCTTGAAATTAAGAATATCTTTTCAAAGAATCCTCTTTAAATTTTAATCGTTGGTCTATTTATCAGTTTATATCTCTAGTTTAAAAAAAAAATGTTCGATTAATATTTATTTTTCATTTTCATAATAAATATTTTAAATCTATTTAACGAAAAAAAAAAAGAGAATTTTTATATATTTTATTTCAAATCAAAAAAAAAATTGTAATTAGTAGCAAATGCAAAATTTTAGATTGTTCTGATATCTGGTTTATTATATATTATAATTTTGTTAAGAATTAATTAATCTATAAAATAATCTTCTACAATATAATAATTAATCTTGAATTATTATAACTACTAATCATTTAATTCTATATTTTTTAAATAATAAATATATCAAGTAGGCATATTATCTGACAAGTATTGTACTAAAGATTAATAAACGAGTTTTGTTTTTTTTTTCTCTATCCAATTCAATAATACAAACATTTCTCACATCATTTTCTATAGTGCGACATATTTTTTTCATTTATTATTCGTTACTATGGAAATCTTTTCTCTATTTTCTCTATTATCTTTTAAAGTCGATGTAAGTTTATTTTTTTTTGTTGTATAATCAAATTTCTTTCAAACACACATACTCTTTTAAATTATTTTATCGTCTTTTTTTGTCAATCAATCGTCATTTATTGACACATTATAACCTACGAAAGCGTCATCGAAACATCTATTTAATCATATAAAGAAAAAAAAAAGAAAAGAATATTAACTGGAAATCAGTCTAATTTCATATTAAATTATTATTAAAAATTTCATCGATTAGGTTCTTTCTTTTTATTCGGAAGAAATTTCTATTTTTCTTTTAATGAAAGACATAATCATCATAGGTAATGTTTATTTAGGTCATTAAAAAAACACAATTTCCTTCATTTGATGTTTACATTTTGATTTTTTTTTCTTTTTTTTTTTTTCTAAGTTCATATACAATTAATGGTCCACTTTTTATTCGACTATGTGATATAACTAATCGAGAACAATTAATAATAGCAACAAAATGTTCTTATGAACGAGAAGTTTTTAAATGTGATGGTTTAAATAGACAAATTTTAGTTGAAAATATTATAGGAAAATGTTCCGTACTTTCATTTAAACATTATTGTACTTGTAAGTGATTCATTCTTCCTTTTTTTTTTTAATAATATATATAAAAAGTATTAATTTTATTTCTAGATCGTTTAACTGAAATTCCTGAATGTGATGTTTATATATGCGAATCACAATATATTGCCGATGACCATAGTCTTCGATCTTTAACAAAAGGATTAAAAGTAAAAAATACATATATTTTTTTGTTAAATAATTTGACTATTGTTTTTCTATAGAGACCATCATTATCATTGAAAGCGTTAGCCGATGAAATCTGGACTTTTCGTAAAGAACTTTTACTTCAACAAGTAATGAACATGGCCTTTATTCTTTTCTTTTTTTTTCTTTTCTTTTCTCTTTCTCTTCTTTCTCCTTCTCGACATAAACCAAGCATAGCTGCATAGAGCGCGTATGTGTCCCTATCGATTTGTTCTCGTAAATCATCGCTGCTCGTCGTCCGCGCAAATATCCTACTTCTTTTTTTTTTCTTTTTTTTTTCTTTCTTTTTTTTCTTCGTTTCTCCTTTCTATTTCTGCCCTTGCGAGCGCTCGCGTTCGCTTACGCGCTCGAGCTCAAGTAACAAAATAGGGGGCGAACGTGTATACATCGCCGTTTATTCTGTTTCCTTTCGACGTTGTCGTTTACTGAAAAAAGAATAACACGACGGGCAAATGTGAACATATAGAAAAGAGAAGAGCAATACACAAAGTTAACTTTTCTTTTTCTTCGTCCTGCTGCTAGTTATATCGACGACTACACGGTGCCGACGTCGTTATTACTTATCGAGAAAATTATTGTCGTTCGAATTAACGTATAGATATTATATTGTGTGTGTGTGTGCGCGTAAAGCGGGATCCGAACGCGCGCAACAGAACAGAATTGTCGACGACGGCTTCCGTCCGTTCGTCGTCGTTTGTTTTGAAAAATCAGCATTCTGGAGATAAAACCAAAGGTAATGCGTGCGACGCGTGCGTGTATATGTGTGTGTACTGGACGCAATGGGATGCGTTATTGTCCCTTTTCATTCGTCGTTCGTCCGCCCCATGTTTTCTTTTTTTTCCTCCCCTTTTTGTTCTTTCTTGTTTCTCGTGCTGCTGCTCTTCGATTCAGGGTTCGCAAAGCAAAACTGAGTAAGAATGGTGCTAGTGCATACACACCCACTTCTTAATTCGACAAGTAAAAAAGAGAAAATAATATTCGATCAATGGAATAGGATAAGAACAGAATAGAAAAAACATCAGACCTGAGAGAAAGCCAAATTACATTGAAATCCTTCCCAAACAAAAATAAATGTAACCTATTTACAAAAATTCGATTATTAAGGATACTCCTGGTGGCCCGTTCAAATTGATCGACGATGGCTCGTTTATGGACGTGGATGATCAAACAAACAGCAATCATGCCAGTAACGTCGATGGAGATGAGCATCAATCGAATCATTTGAACTTTGATACGGCCAACAGTAGTAATAATACCAATACTAATAATAATCAGAATTCATCATCAGTACAAAATCGAAATAATAATAGTCGTGTAAGTAGATTTTGCAATAAAGAAAAAAACAAATAAATAAACAAAAGAATTTATTTATTTATATTTTGCTTTTAATAGAAAAATAATCGACGTGGATCATCAGCTCGTGCTCCATGTGGATATCTTGTATTTGCAAGTGAATCACGAAAACGACTTATTAAAGATAATCCTGGCATTCCATTCGGTGAAATGAGTCGAATGATTGGTGATCAGGTAAATACAGGAAAAAAAATATATATATATAACCTAATCTGCCTATTAATATTATGTTTTTTTTTCTCTATAGTGGCGACGATTGACCGCAAGTGAACGTGATAAATATGAAGAAAAAGCGCGTGAACGAGCAAGAGAACAAGAGGTAAACAGGCAACAAAAGACAATAAGATAACATATATATATATATATATATATATATATATATATACGTGAAAACATTACATTACATTATATTACAGGTTAGTAGCGCACCAACAACACAAGCGTCGACTAACACTACCACGACAACAACAACAACTTACGATTCACATAATATGCCAGTTATAAATACACAACGAACGGTAAATGGTGGTGTTACAGTAAATGGACATTATCAAACAAATCCAACTTTGTCAAGTAGATTTATTTCGAAAAAAAAATACATATATTATTTTATAAAATAAAATCTTTATAGATGTTCATGCAATGAATGGAAATATACAAACAATACCAAAACCACCTACAAATGCAATTGTTACATGTCCACCACGAACGCAACGACTTGTTCATTCAGAAGCTTATTTAAGGTAAAACTATTCAATCTTTATATTCACTATCAAAATATTTTGTAATTTTTTAGATATATTGAAAATCTTAAACCTGATAATCAATTTATATCCGATTGGCCAAAACAATTAAAAGCTTCAATGAATAATTTATCAAATTCAAATAATGGAAATAATAATTCACGAACATTACCATCGAATTGGTTTTTAAATGGTAGTCCCGGTCTTTATAATAATGTTCATGAAGCTTTATGGTCAATGAGAGATAATATGTGGTCAGACGTTATTCGTATTCGAAATGTACTTTCAGATGAATGGTAAATTGAGAAACGATCTTGTTCTTTTCTCTTTGTTTTCTTTTGAAATAAACAACCAAAAAAAAAAAAACAAACAAATTGTTTATTACAGTAAAGATTTATAAATGATGCACTATTGTAGAATATAGTTTTCGTCCTGTTTTTGTTATTGTTGTTTCTTTTTCTCTCTATGTTTATTTCGTCTTATCGTCTTATTGTGTGTTCATTATTTTCTTTTTCTTTTTCTTTTTCTTTGTGATTTAAGACAGAAGAATTCAAAAACAAAAAAAAACAAACACATCAGCAACTCATTTGTTTCTTTCACCGTGATAAATGACGCAATGTGGGTGTATCTTTTGTATGTGTGTGAGTGTTTTTTTTTATGTACAGAAAGCATTATGTTATTAAACTTGGAACATACGATTAAAATAACAATGAACCACAGAAAAATAAAAGATATTTGATTGATATTCAAGCATGAACGTAATGTGAGTTGTATTATTATTTGTTGATGTTTTTGCTTGGTTTGTATGTTTCAAGGTTCGAGAAAAATGTGCCTATGGTAAATATTTGAATAGTAAAAAGCGATTTTAGAATCGTTTCGATTTACAAAGCTTACGATGATTAAGCTCAAAAGAAATACACAATGGACAATTTATAAAGAGCACAAGACACACGACATTTCGTGTGAAAATCAATTTTTTTTTCCCATAAAACCATTAGTTTCTATTACTTAGAAAACAATAGCCGATAAAAAAATGTTTTTGTTTTTTCAGCGGAAATCTCTAACAGTGATAGTTAAGAATTATGTCTAAACGTTTTATCTCAATCGAAGCAATGAGAAAATGTGGAAATTCACTTTATTGAAGACACTTGTGGAGAAACCTTTTCGTGGAAAAAGAAGGATTACTTTTTCTATTGGAAAAAAAGATTAAACAAAATTTTTTTATGAATTGATAGAATAGATATTCTGCTTTGAGAATATATATAATTTTCTAGTCTACTCTTTTTATGTTCTCTGAAAAAATGAATTTCTTTCTGAGCTAATTGAAAGATGGCCTTCAATGGTGACCGCGGTTTTTTTCCAATAGACTGAGGAACTGAAACAAAATCTTTCGCTTCATTAAAATGCCCGAGAACCAATGAATACTCTACATTATTCAAACCATCAAAAATCTCATTTTCAGTTTTTCCGCCTGACATGCATGCTTTTTGTGCATTGTAGAGCATATGGACTATGTTGATTTTCATGACACAAATTTAGCCAACAGTTGGATGATTTCAGTATAATTGTTTATTCTGTAAATTTGATTTTGATTGCTATTTTTATAGAAGTGATGATGCGAAAATAATATCGGAAATTAGTCTCGACGCTAGACTTTTTATGAATAAAATATGTATTGTATTTGTGAAAATGATTTTAGAAATCATGAGTCTCAATGAAACGTATTATAAAATTTGTTTTTTGAATGAATTATAGTTCAAAGTTATTATTCATTATAAAGATGTTGTTCTATTTCCGTATAATTCTACAAAAAAAAAGCACTGAAGAATAAGAAGAAAACTTGTCACATAGAAATGAGACATGATAGAAGCAAAACAAGTAGGCGACCATTTTCAGTAAATAATGTAATAAAAGAAAAAAAAATCAGAGAACAAGTATCCGGACTTGATCTTTAATAAAGAAAAAAAACCCGGTCGTAAATAAATATTTTTTTATGTTAAAATTTCCATATCACGATACATATTCAAGTGTAGTTTATATATTAATGATCAGAAACGAACAAAGCAAAAAAGATTTTTACGATCGTGATTGTTATAATTGTGTATGTGTTTGATAAGTTTTTGGATGGATTGTTTTTATTGGAGATTGATGGATACAATGTCATTTGATCATAAAATTCATTATAAGGATTAATTATTATTGATTAAGTTGATGTGATTGCGATGGATGAATGTTTGCTAATGAATTTTGATGATTGGCCATTAGATATTGATGAATAAGAATGTCGAGATTGTTCGTGAAAATAAAATTTATTAGACTGTCTTTATGTTATATAAAATAACCTTACATGTGATGGATGAGAAATATTTATTTGAAGACGTTTATAATCATTTTCATGATTACTATAATTATGTATATCATTGGTATTCTGATTATCAAAACGTAATGTAAAACTATAAGCTAAACGTATAGGACTACGACTATATGTACGTTTATCATAACTGTTGCAACTTGATTCAGAAATGTTCTATGTTCCAACTTCATTATTGCTATAGCCATTACGATTTTCATTCATATTACCAACAGCACATCGTAGATATACTCATAAGAAAAACACAAACAATTTTCAAATAGATGATTATATCTTTTTACTTAACCTATCCCCTCGATATGTGTTTTTCACGATAATCGCAACTCACTGTAGTGAAATATTTCTTTTTTGAAATATCATTGTGTTTGTTTAGCATTTTCATGAACGAACAGTACGATCAATATAATCTTCAGTTCGTGTTGCACATTTTAATACATATATACATAACTGAAATTCATTTTGATTAAATCACAAAAATGCTTTTCGTTTATTTTCTTCACCCTGAAAATGACAATATATGGCTTTTTTTCAATTATGATGATGGAAAAAAAGAAATAATTCATCTCACCTTGGTTTTTTTATATAAATCAGTATGATTATAAAGAAAAATAAAATTAAAAGAATATTATGAAATTCTTATTCCCCACTCGTTTAACGATAATACAACAGCACAGAGAGCGACGCACCGAATGTCAATACAACTTTGCATAATTAAAATCATACACGTTCTCTTTACAATATTACGATACTTGAACTTATTCATAATTCTAATGTATACTGATGATTTCTTCATTTTTAGTCCTTTCTCAATATTCAGAAGAAATTCCATGCAAATCAGCATTGAAACAATTGCACATGGGGCTCTGGCCATAAGACTCACCTATAAACTATAACGAAAACAGGAGTGCAGAAATAATGATAAATCCTAATGAAATTAGTTTACTTAATTAAACTAATTAATTTACAATACGTGCTTAAACTCCAAGCAGCAACATTTGTTGTAATGAGAGTAACATGAGGTCGAGTTCAACATTCTAAAAAAGAATAATAAATTGTAGATTCACTGTAATCTAATAAAAGAATAGAGCTTGTAAAACTCGATCACGTTCATTTTGTCGTTTATTTCTATAAATAGAAAAAAGCTGAATAATTCAAGATATTTAATCATAAAGAAAAAAAGAATCATCAAAACCTTTTTTTTTTCTGTTCCAGCAAATATAATCACTTTACAATTTTGATCATGCGTAACAACTGTTAAAACTTTTAATCATCTATTCATAAAGAAATAATTAATTTTCTTTTTCTTTTCTTCTTTGAAATTACTTTAATGAATATTCTGATTAGCATTTACGATAACTTTACCTAAGGTTATGTATATATATGAACAATTGATCATGAAATTTAATGTTAAATTTTGTGCTTATTTTGGTTATGTCATACTAAATATTGCTATTGAACGATCTGTATTGAATTTATCAAAAAAGAAAAATCTTAAATCAAATTTTTCTTTTATTCGAAAAATATTTACTCGAATACATTTAACAATTTTACGAATTGGTGATTCAAAGCTCATATCAAACATTCAATCAGCTTCATTCATAATAAGCAGTGTCATGCAATCGAGATTAATTATTTCTTCACGTATTAAATTTAATAGGTGTTTCAGCCAAGGAGATCAGATCTACCGATATGGCAGAAAAAATTCTGATTTTATTTCGATTTTTTTGTTTCATGTGAGCATTTTGAAATGTATGTATGTAATTTATAATTTTCTCGGTTTTTTTTTGTGAAGTTTGCTTTGAGTTTTTCGAAAAAAAGAATAATTTCGAATTAAATAACTTTCTTGGATTGTTTATATGAATTGAACTGTATATGAATATTGTTTTTATTAGTTTTCATTATTGTAAAATATATTTTAAAATAATATTTATTAATAAACAGAAACAGAATAAAACATTTTGTTAGTAGAAAAAACATATTATAGATTTGTTCACAAAAGATAGTTGTCTGATTTTTTTACTTTTCCATCTGGCGACACTGATTCTGATTTAGAATAAGAACTAATGGATCGTTCAATCGAGTATTTATTTGATCAGCTGCATGAATCAATGCAGGTAATACAAACTAAACATTACGAAGAAAAAGTAAACCATAATAGAAAAAGAATATGTGCTTACAAATAAAATTATCCGCGAATGTGTTTAGTAAATACGAACAAGACCATTGTCACTTAAAAGAATAGGAGGCTACGGTTGTGATTGAATAAGTATTGATCGAGTATAATCAAGTCGTTTGTTTTACTTTTCAATACAAAACTAATCAATAAAAATGTAAAGAATAGAATTAGAAGTGAAAAGATTCTTACATGGAAATTGAATTTTAACAAATGAAAGTATTGACTTAGATGTATAATCTTTCGTTGCTGTTTTATTTTGAACATAAAATTGATTGTTTACATGCTATTCAATAAAAGAAAAAAGCAATAATCAATCTATTAAATAGAATTAAAATCTTCTATTGATATGAAGTTAACATGGGACGAAGCTATCACGACGGAGTAAGGTGAACTTGAAATTCTGAACTCATTATCTTCTATCACTAATTCAATACAGTTGATGTTGAGTCAACTACGGGAATAGTTTATGCAAGTGTTGATTATGACACTTATATAGTTAAATTTTAACAACATCATTCCACTGTAGAAATGTAGAATGGACTAAAAATGACTCATTCGTCTTGAATGATATTAGAAAAATTGGATTTATTGGTAATCTGGTATTGTTACGGTTTTTTGCAGTTATGCTGTTGTTTTATCTGCATAAAGCTGGAAATCTACTAGTCATGAATAATTTTTTTTTTGAAAAATGAGTCATTTTGAAAGATGATATCCTGTTAGAAATTTGCAAAGACTACTGTTCAGATTGAAAAAAAAGTCTTTCATTATCAGAATTGTGTCGATATTGTTTGTATCCATGTTCTTTTTATAAAATGACATCATTGATTCTGGATCCAGCTGAAAATTATCCATTCCTATTGGTAAAAAGTTTCATCCAAAAGAAAGTTCGTAACAGAAGTTGCAGATTTCTATGTTTTTGTTCGATAAGAAGTTATTTAAATATAATCGTGGAGTGTGTTTTAACTGACTAATAGTTCTAATCCAATTTTCAGAACGAAGATCGAGTTATTTATGAATTTATATCGAAAAAGAAAATAACTAGATAAAAAGCATTTTTCATGTTAATCATTACGAATGGATCAAAAAATGACCCAAGTTGTCCAGAAAAATCTTACTTTCCCATTAGTAATCAGGAGATTTTAAAAAAATACTCTATACATCAGATTTTTTCACTTTTTTCGAAAAAAAAACACCGTTTTTCAAACTCATATACCTTAGTCAAGGAATGATGAAAAGAAGTCTAATTTTTTTTTACAAATCTGTAGCTTATTGAGGGCCTTACACAATGTTCGAAAACCATCTCGAGCCGATGTTTTATTACTTCAAGTAGATCGTTTCTATGAAATCAGAAAAAATCATCGAACAGAGAGTAAAGGATTAACATTAGGACTTGCAGGGTAAGTATGGATATTCGGTAACACTTACTAAATCATCATCACCCTAATCTGATCTCGAAAGCTCTAGTGTAAAAGTTTTTCAGATCGGCTTAAATCTGTTCTGGTAACTTCACATCAATAAATCTTCTTACCTGTGGTCAATTAGTTATTAATAATGATTCAGAATAAAAGTTTTTTAATTATTGATGGATATGGACATCATAGATCGACCACAAATGAATAGAAATCATCAAGTAATTTATTTCCATTACTAGTTCGATTATTATTCTTGTATGAATCTATCGAAAATATTTCTTTTACTTCAAATATCTTTTTTTGTGTTTAGTATAAGATTTTCTTACTTTTTAATAATCCATAATTATTACTGTTATTATTACTTTTACCATCTTTATCATAAAAATCTATTTTTTTTTAAAATAAGATAATTCTGATGTTGTTATTTAACATCTTTCAATATCTGAAAGAGACATTTCATAGAAGACGAATGGTTTAGCAGGTGAAAATGTCTAATTGACTAAAAAAAATCCAGGACAATATATCGAATATACACAAAAAAGAAAAAAAAAAGAATTTTAACGCTAAAGGATTTTAATGTAATTCTTTTTCCGTATGAGCTTTTGATACCCAACCTTGCGGTCGTGGCATATTCGGATGATCATCCCAAACTTTTCTTGTTACATTTGGATCAATTGGACCAACAATATCATAATAACTTAATGGATCACCATGATGTTTTTCCCAATCACGCCGACGTGCACGATCAACAAGTATACGTCGATATGAAACATATATACCAAATAGAACACCAATTAAAGCACCAATTATATAATATTGTTTACGATAATAAATATCCATATGCCATGGTGTTGGTAAACGTGCTTCAACTGGATCATTAGGAAAATAATTTTGATAAAAATCACGAGCATTAAATGTTATTCCTTTCATTTCTGACGTTTTAGCACGTGGTAATTCATTATCGGATGGTGCACGAAATTCTGGATCCGTTGATAAAGGTGTTCGATATTGTTTTTGATTATCCGAAGATGTATGAGAAACGTTTGTTGTTGTTGTTGAAGAAGCTGAACGAGTTAAAATAACTCGTTCAATTAATTTTGAATAGAATTGTCTTGATGGTGAATATTTTGAAAGTAACATGGGAAAAAATGTTATTTTGTTACAATTGAAGAATGAAAAAAATAGATTCGTTATGTTTTTAGATATGAGCAACCATATTGAATCTTATGCATGTGGATGAAGGTTAATTTATTAATAGAAGAACTATTAAAAGGCAAAAAAAAACGAATAGAATTTATTAAGAAAAAGTTAATTTAAAAATTTAATAAAATTTTTGGACATCAATATAATTTAATAAGAAATGATTGGTAGTGCTATACATAATTTCTGAACCATTCGAGATACTTCTCTACTATTCGATGATTCATCAAGTAAACATGACATCATAATAGCAGATGATGACAAGGCATTTTTTTGCGTTTCATACCCTTTATATTCTCATTTCTACTTAGATTATTTTCATTTATTTCTGACTTTTATTGATATTATAGTTATGGAATTTCCACAGCTTGGACAACATTGTTCGGTTAAAACATGCAATCGATTAGGTATATTATTTCATTGTTTTATCTTTATTTAACATTTATTTTTAAAAATATTTTTGTTTTTTAGATTTTCTACCGATGAAATGTGATTCATGTGCTGCTATACTATGGTAAATTTTTTCGAAAATTAAATTCTATTAATTCTTTTTTTTTTCATTTTTAGCAAAGATCATATAAAATATGATGAACATCAATGTCCATCATCTCGTCGTAAAAATATTCAAGTACCTATCTGTCCTTTATGCAATAAAGCTGTACCATTACGACATCGTGATGAATCAGTTGATCGTACTGTATCAGCACATATTGATCGTGATTGTAAATCTGATCCAGCATTAAAAAACCGTCAAAAAATTTATTCCAATAAATGTTCACTTATTTCATGTAAACAACGAGAAGCTGTTAAAGTTAAATGTGATAAATGTTTAAAAACATTTTGTTTTAAACATCGATTTCCTGATGATCATAAATGTCAAGGATTTGAAAATACGGGTCGAGTTATGAATCTAGCTGGGTAAATTATATTTAACAAAAAAAAAAACACTTTTATTTTTTTTTTATATTAATAATTGAAATAATTTTTGTAGTGCTGCAGCCATAGAACGTATGAAAACGACAAATATTAATCTCGTCAATCAAAATGCCTCGAATAATACAACAGTAATAGTAAATATATGATTTGAATGAATTAAGAAAATAATATTTCTTGTTTGATGAATAATAGGATGATGATGATGATGAATCACTTGCATTAGCAATTAAATTATCTTTGAATCAAACGTAAGATATTTGAATGAAATTTTTTTTGTTTGTTTTTATTCAATGTTTTTTTTGTTTTGTTTTTGAAATAGGACCCAAGAAGAGAATGATTTTCTACTAGCACAAGCTTTACAACAAAGTGAACAAGAACAAGCTCGACGAAATCATACTGCTGTAACTATTGAATTTATTTTAAAAACTCATTCCTAACTTTCTATATATGTTCTAGAGTATTAAAAGTAAAGGGTGATCTGTATATTTTTCTCGCTTAATGGCCACAACAATAAAATCATGGTGATCAAATGAACGATAAAAAGAAAATTTTTGTTTTTTTTCTATTGAATTGTCATGAATTTATTTGTCATGTTATTATATTTTTATTGGTTTATTATTGAATTTATTTATTATTTTTGTATGATAAAAGTGAAAATAAAATAATAAAGAGTATTTATTAAGGCTTTAGAGAAAAAGTCAAAAAAAAAATAAATACATTTTGTAAAACAATGATTAGTTATTATGGTTCGATGAGAAAATTTAAGTTTGTTTGTTTTTATTTATGATTTATGAGTCTTATTAAGCTCAGAGAAAAATCGATCGTAAAAATAGGAGAGAAAAAGCTGATGATAACAAGTATTAAAAAATTTTCATTCTGACTTTTTGAGTTATTTTCTTGTTTTATAGATTAATGAATGTAATAAATGAATTTGATAATGAATATGTATTCATCATTTTAAAAATTTTATCTTAAAATCCATGTTTAAATCCAGTATTTTCTACTTATTTGTGTTGTCCAATTTGTCAAGAATAGTAGCTCTATGAACAGGAATAGTTTCGTTTTTTAAAACTTTAAATATTTTCTAAAACCGTAGATTTTCTTCGTTTGAGTTGTTTTTATTCTGTGGACCACATCAAGATCAAGCAATAAGCTAGTTTTCTTTCTGTATCGTAAGATTCTCTAAACACGAATTATTCGGTTATCTTGCAAAATATTTACGAAAAATATCTTCACAAATATTTAAACAGGCTTCACATTTTTATTGTTTGATAATAAATGACGAATATATAAAAGAGTAATAAAAGTATGAATGAGTGGTAGGAGAAGTAATATAATCGAGAAATGATTATATTCGTGGTAGTAAAAAGAAATCGTCGAATCCAATGCAAAAGTGTTACATAGCGAACAGTTGATAACAAATCAAATATTGACTTGATAAAGAGAAAAATTGAACGAAATCAGAGTAATGTCGAAGACTTCAATGTTCTTAGTATGATCATTCAAGTTTTTTAAGAACTTCTACAATGTGTAATTAAAACTTTTGTAAAATCCTTATAACAAAAATCTTACAGTAAAAAAAATAACAAAAATTTTTGAAAATCTAATTCTAAAATCTTACGAATTCAGATTGTCGGAGAATGATCTTAATACAATTTTTCCATCTCGAAAGAGCAGAACATAAATCAGATGCATTCAAGATTAGCTCGGTGAAAATACTGCTAGGATTGTACTAAACATTACTACTAGGCTCAGGTATGAATCCAAAAATGATTCTTTCAACAATTTTCAAGTCCATGGCATAAATGAAATACAAAATACTTCAGAATCTACCATGGAATATCAGCAACTATATTATTTTTTGCTGCTGATCGAACCTAATATTTTAATATTTGTACAGAATTATTTTGTATTTTATTGACGCCTGTCATCTAATGCGATTTTTTCAAGTACATCAAAACATTGTATTCTAAATAAACCGATGAATTTTAACATTAAATTCATCGATTTACTATTCCGTTTAGTAATCTTAGGATCATGCACAAAGAAGCACATTTTTCTACTGATTATCTTATCACTATGCATCGATTTTTAGGAAGAAAAACAAAAACAAATTAATCATGAAATTTTATTGCAAGGTGGAGTCATCAATCATTTGTTGAAGCTTTGATCTTTTGCACAATTCATTCGTTCAACTATACAATCTGACATGATGGTTCAACACGCACAGATCCTACATAGTTCAATACTGTTCCACCTTTTGAAACACTTTTCTAGTAGAATTCATTCAATAGCTCTTTTTGAAAGTTACAAAACTGTATACTTTCTAAACAGAAAACAACTCAATACTTAAATAAATACAAGCACGTTGTTCTGGAGAGTTGAATTGATTTCGATCAGAAAAACTATAAATGGAGTCAAACAAAATAAAATATTTAGAATTAGCATAAAGATTCGAATCTACTTGAAAGTATTTCAAATTTTTTCAACATTCTGCTTTTTTGATTAATAAATTCGGTTTGAAATCCCTCAGACATTAGTTGCAAATTTCAAATCCTTCAAAAGACTATTTTTGTTGTTCAACTATTTGTCACTTTGTATTCTAATAAGATTATACGTTCTTAAAGCTTTCTTCCAATATATAAATGCTTTTTCTAGTAAATTTCTGTTTTGTCTAAGCTTTAAGATGAAGTAGGATCAACTTTTTCAGTGAAAAACTGTCCAAGAAAATCTCTAATTTATATAGATATATCGACTCCATTTTTTATATCGATTCTATATCTGTTATTAGTTTTGGCTCAATTTGTAGCTTTTCTAACCAAAATCTAGTCAACACTCATCAAAAACACATTCAAAATTACATTTCATGGACAGTCTACGTAGATTCTTTCACGTGTCAACCTATTTTCAGTTTAAAAGATATACAATTTTTTTAGCTTTCAAAAAAAGCCATTGAATGAGTTCTACTAGAAAAATGTTCCAAAAAATGAAACACTTTCATACTATATAGGGTCTGTATAAATCTTAATTATGTTCTTTGAATTTTTAGACATTATTAGAGATCAGAAATGAAACAAAGTCTAAATTTAACAGCCAATGATTGGATAATTCAAAAGATAGTTAAGTTTTCTATCAGATCTTATACAATTACTTGCAAATGATTCAGATGAGAAATTCATCGTAATATTTATAAATTTCATCTTTGATATCAAAAATGTGTATGGAATTTTATGAGTTATGCAATATTCTCTTAGATCATCTTTTAATCCTCTTCTATTTGTTAGAGAAGACTTGGGTCAAAGAATTGTACTATTAGAATAAGAGCATATAATCATCTAATTTAATTCACTGATGAACAAAGATTCTTCTTCAACAAGTAAGTTGATAATTATTACCTATCTATAAATCATCATGCATCAATTATAATCTTTCTTTTATAGAAAGTTTGATCGAAAGTTTCTTTTCTATTTATTTCGACTAGTATTCAACTATTTTATTCGTCACACCGTATATTAAAAACACAAGCATCCATATGAGTTAATAGAGATTATTTATAAATATATATAAAAAAAGACATTAAAACATGGTATTATAAAAAAAAAGACATTAGCAAATCTATTCCCATTGCGCAAAACCAACCACAAAAAAAAATCTATTATTGAATTCACAAATAAATAAAATTATATATTTCGAATTGTAGCTAATTCACGATCAATTGTTTGTATTTCATCTAATTTTTTGCTGAATATTTTCAAAAGTTTACTCGCACATTCTTCTCGTGTAACAAGTAATTTCGATACTTTTTGTCGTATTTTTTCATTTTTATCAATACTGTCATCTTTTATATTTGCCTGAAATAGAAATTAATATAAATAATACAAGAAAAGACAAATCTCATACTTGAAAACTTTCATCTGCTATGGACATAATTTCATCGAGATCATCTTGTGTTAAATTTAATATTTTACTTGCTGTACTCATAGCTGTATCATAACCAGGGAATGTCATTGATAATGATTCACGTTGTTTTTGATGTTCACGTGTATGTTTTAGTTTCTCATTCATTTGTACACTTCGTCGAATCATTTCATGAAGAAGATCCTAAATTAAAATGCGGGATCAAAATTTGAAAGTTTGCCGAGACCACAGGAAAGAGAATTTGCGCTGAGATCGGAATAGAAACTACGAGAAAAAAGTTTTCTCAACTGGAACTAAGGATTATAGTTAAATATCTTATAGTTTTAAGTGAATTATCTTATAAATCATATCAATCAGAATATAATTCAAGAGAGATGAACCAAAAAAGTACTAGTCGATGACTAAATAAATAAATAAAAAACAAGTAGTGAAGAACTTTGTAGATATGATACGAATAAAACTCTGGAATAGTTTTCTCTAGACCGGGGTCAGACCAGGACCAGATTTACCGGGATTAGGACCGGAAAAATTGATCCTGTACATCCCTAGTCCCGAGGTTTTAGGATTGAAAGGTTGATGGCTCATGAGACCGATCAGAAGATTTTCGCTAAAGGTGATTGGATTTGAAGGATAGCGTAGTTTTCCGAGAACTGGTGAGTCAAATAAATAGTACAACGCTGGGACTCCACTTGAGCAAAAAGAAAAACTCTTTTACATTTATAAATCTTTCATATTCATTTAAACATTGAAGTGTTCGATCTAATTCGAGTGTTATTTTTTTTAATGAATCTTGACTTTTAGTATTTAATGTTAATAATTGTTGTTCCGATTGTTGACGAGATGTTAATAATTCTTGATTTAATTGTTCATTATTAAGACGTATTTGTCGAAGTTGTTGATCATTTAAACGAAATTTTGTTTGAATATCTTCAAAACGAATTTTCTATTAAAATGAATATATTTGATTGAAATTTTTTTTTGTTTTTTTTTGTTAAAAATATAAATAAATATTTACTAATTTTTGATGTTCATCAACAAGTTGAGTATATCGTGAATCAAGATCATGTTTTTCTCGAGTAACTGCTTGTAAACGATTTTTATATGAATCAATCTAGGCAACAAAAAACAAAGTTATATATTTTTTTTTGAAATTAATAAATTACATACAGTTATTCGTAATTTTTCTATTGTTCCAGTTAAAGATTTAACTCGTTCCTCATCATTCTATTTAAAATAAAAAGAAATTAAATGAATTTAAAGTAGTAATTTTTACTTCATTAATATTTTTATCATTTGAACGATTAAGACTTGTTTCCATTTCATTTAATCTTGTTTTATAATTTTCAATTAATAATCGTTTACCAACGATATCACGTTCTGTATGTGTTAATCTAAATGAAAGAATAAAAAATTGAATTTCAAGAAACTTTTTCTTTGTTTTTCTTTTGTCTATTGATAAATTTTACTTTTCAGTTAATGATTGTAAATTTTTATTTAATAGTTCATTATCTATTTGTAATGTTTTATTTAATTTACGTTGTTGAGCAGCATCAAATGAAGTATTTTTAAGACGTTCATATAAATTATCCGTATTGATACTATGATCAATATTTGTTGAATCATAATTGTGAAATTTTGATTGATTGAGATGATTATTTTTAAATTTATCACATTCAATAATAAGTTTCTTTAAAATTAAAGAAAAATTTTTCAAAATAAATAAAAACAAAGAAATTTAAATACAAACTTGATTTGTTGTTTTAAGAATATTAATTCGACTTAATGTTGTCATTAAACGTTGATTAAGATGTTCATTTTCTTTTCGAGAATCAGCAAGATCATTTTCTAATTGTTCAATACGTTTACGTAATGTTGAAATCTAAGATAAAAAGTATTAAATTCTTTAAAAAATAAATCATTGTTATGTTTAGTAGTATTTACTCGAATTGGAGGAGTTTTCTGTATTGATAAAGGAGTACTTTGTTTTCGAGTAATGTTGAAATATTTCAATGGAGTAGTTAGACGATTTTTAGTCGTAGAATTTCTTTTGAATGGTCCACCTTAATAGAAAATAAAGATTTTTTTCATATGAAGAGAAATGATGATTTCGATAACAAACATCTTGGTCTTGGTAATATTAATGATATTGATGATCGTCTTTTACGTTGTCTAAATGAATTTTCACTTTGATGATCACAAAGACTACATGAATGATCTTGTCGTCTATTAGATACTAATGATTCATTTTGAAGATCATCAATTAATGTTGAATTTTGATCAAGTAATAATTCTAAACATGATTTTGTTGTTGTTGATTTTTTTGGTTTCTTTTTTATTGTTCGTCTTTTTATTGTTAATAGTGGTTTTGATATTAAATCTGTGTTATTATCTGTTTGATTAGTTCGTTTTAATTTATATATTTGATCTTGTAATGAAAGTATTCGAAGTTTAAGTTGTTTTAATTCATTATTTATTTGTATTTTTTGTTGAATTAAATGTTGTTTTTCATCATTACATAAATCATAATTTGTTTTTAAACGTTCATTTTCAAATATTAAACATGTTCGTTCTGTTTCAAGTTCATATATTTTTTTATCAAGTTCTTCAATAAGATGTTCTTGTTCATTATTTGATGTGGTTATATGTGTTGATTGAATTTGTTCATCTTTATCATTAATTCGTCGTATTTCATTATGAAGTTCATCAATAATATTTATTTGTTCATTTATTTCAACTTCTTGTAAATCAATTTTTTCTTGTAAACTTAAACTAAATTTACAATAGAATAATATTTCTACCAATGACTTAGAGATGATATCAGTCTGGATTTTTCACGATAGGTACTAGTACGGGTCTGAGTAGGCCAGATCAGACCGGACCGGACCGGACCGATCGTCTGAAATCTATACCGACACTAGACTGACGAGTTGTCATACAATTTCATCTGTGAATAGTGATATTTGATGTAGTCAACTTTCAACAATGTTTCATTAACATCCTCTATGAGATAATAAGAGCAGAAAAATAAAAGAAAAAAACACACCAATAATGGCCAGTCTATCGGCAACTTGTCGGTTTGAAACTCGTACTGGTACGGATTGTATCTCTGTCATGCTTCATTGGGTCTCATTCTTTAGTCAGCATATAGAATTAAATTATGTGAATGACCAGGATACACATGAGCAGGTTTTAAGAAGAGGCACCAGGGCGATCGCCGCCTTCCTTCGAAATATTTTTCGATTTTTCTTAACAGAAAATGCCTAAAAAATGAGTCGATATGGCCTCTAATGGTCTTCAAAACAAGTTCTGTAACCATGATCACTCTCCTTTTGCAAAATCCTCGATCCACCACTGAGGTTATAGTCCTTGTTTTAACAATATGTAGCTATTATGGAGTCTTATCAAGCGACAGATTTAAAAAAGTATGTAAAAGTCATAAAATTAACTAGAGAATGCGACCGATGAAATTTACAATGACCTATTAACAAATATTATTCAACACTTCGACGGTGTATCAACCTTTTATATTAAATTTTTATTTGTACTATGCATATATATATATGTATATCTATATCATTTTATTCTAAACCCTAAACTCTATATTTTATATTAAAAATATAATTCGTATGGATATATTGTCGTTGATAGTTTATAAGAAGAATAAATCAAGCATCTTTACTTTTCATTAGTTAATTTCGCATTTTCACGTCTTAATTTTGTAACTTCATTCCAGACATTATCATCATCTTCTTGTTTAAGTAATTTTCTATTATTTCCTGTTTGTTTTTTCCATCGATGATCATTACATACGGAACAACCATTTTTTGTTTTATGTATTGCTTTTCTATAGAAAAAATCATTTTTTGAATTTGTTTGTAAAATTTCATCATCAGTATAAGATTGTAATTCATTTTTAAGTAAACGATATTGTTTTTGTAAATATTTAAGACGTAACCAACGTTTATCATGAACTTTTTTTAATGTAATTATTTGATTATCACGTTTAACAAGTAATTGTTGAACATTATTTAAACGATCAGTTAATGTATGAAATTTTGTTTTTAAAAATTCTATATCTAATGGAGAAGATGAATCATGTATAGATGGAGAAATAGTTCGTTTGTTTTGAAATGATTTTGTTGGAGATCGAATTCGTCCAATATCTTCATCACAACTTTTCCAACGATTTTCATGAGATAAATGATTCTATGAAGAAGAATTTTTGAATAAGCGAATATACTAAAGTAAAACTTACAGATTGTAATGTATCACGAACACGACGAAGTGTTAGTTTTAATTGTTTTATTTCATTATCACGATCTCGTAAAGTCTAGAATATATAAAGTCATTGAGATGAATTCATTTAGACATATCTTGATAGAGTCATTTTCGAGATGTTTAAAATGCAGATTATTGAGAGATAGATAGACAATGCCGACTTTTCCTTATGATTTAATCTAGAAATCCGTCCAATTCTATCATAGTGGTCTAGAATTAGAGATTTGAAGGGAAAAAAACTGTTTTAAACGTTTTGTTCAACTTCGAGAGAAGGCAAAACTGCAAACAAAGCTTGACACAGCTGTTATAAATTTCCTATCTCAGATAAAATCTATTGAAATGGCAACTATATTTCATAGACTTATTGAAAGGAGACCACAATACAATAAAATTTTCGAATTCAGACCCGATTTATATTTCTAATCTCAACGAAATTTTTTAGTCTGAGTCTGAGAATCGCTCTAAAGATGCGAGATACTTTTCATCGATCGTTTGTATTCTCCTATTAATACACTCCTCATATTTCTCAGACAATCTTGACAATAATCAGATCATAACTGGCTGTTAGTTCTAGAGTATAACTCGTAGGATCGATCTCGGTCCGAGTCAATAGAAAATTTATAGACTCATCGAGCCCAGTTAGGACCCAAATTCGAAAACAACCTGATGGACTCTCTTTTACAGTAAGCACAAAAAAATGTCGTCCGCATAAAACTTACATTTTGAAGACTTGTAATTTGCAATCGTAATGAATCATCTTCAAAATGACTATCTGTATCAAAAAAAAAGAAATGAAAATATCTTTTTTTATATAATGAAACTTTCCTTACTTGTTTGCTTTTTTCTATGTGACTCATCAATTTCTTTTCTAAATAAACATAATAGAATATTTGAATAATATTTTAAAAATGTATTTACTTAAGGTTAACAATAGTTTCTTCTCGTTGTTCAATAGTTGCTTTATATGTATCAAGTTTTTGTCGCCAAAGTTGTGTATCAGCAACAATACGATCAAATGCCTATGAAATAAAAATAAATATTATTAATATTTAAAAAAAAAACAAGAAACTAACCAAAATTTTTTCTTGATTAATTGCATTAACAGAAGCTTTTCCATTTAATTCTTTTGTTAAATCATTAATATGTTCACATAAACCTAATATTCAATATATTTATTATTACGACTAAAGAAAAAAATCTGAAATATTTACGTTCATTTTCAATTTGACAATCACGTATTGTTTTTTCAAAAGTTTGTAATTGTAATTGATGTAATTGTTCAAATGTTCGTGTCTAAAAATAAAAATGTATTTGTTGTTTAATATTTAAAAAGAAAACAAAAATTGAAA